GTGTGTGTGTGTGTGTGTGTGTGTGTGTGTGTGTGTGTGTGTGTGTGTTGGGGCCTCAGGTCAAAGTTGGGGCAGAATTTTCTCAAACCCCCTCTGTTCTCTCAGCTGACAGACCTTTCATCCAGCAGGTTTCAGTGTAAACTAACGTGTTGTTTGAGAGAATAAACCAAAGAACAGTGTTGACTGTCACCCTAAATGTTCACTTTAAATAGAAACAATACATAACCAAAAATAGAAACAATACATAACCAAAAATAGAAACAATACATAACCACCGGCCTGACCTGTCCTGAAAGCTCCTGTTCCTTCTATATGCTAATAATAACATGCTAATTCCACATGCTAATCTTTCATTAGTGTCCCCACAGGTGACCCACCATCAACTTTACCTTTTCCTTTCCGGAACTCGCTCTTCAACGACCGGGACGTTTTCATTAAAGGTGCTCTGGACCTCGTAAACAGGATTAACGCCATGCTCTTTCAGATTTAAAAGTCGCAAACCTGTGAACACAGTTAAATTAGCCTGCTAATTTCACTTACAAGCTAATAGCAGCCAGACGATTAGCTTAGCTAGCTCGAGTTTGTTACAGAAGCCGAAACCGACAGGAAGTAACGGAACATTTAAAAAAAAAAACACTTTCAACGAATAATTTAAAGAAGCTGCGGCGGACGTTTTACTCCTCTGTGAGAAATTTAAGCCTCATGTCATGTCCTTGCTTCACTCTCAAACGCGCATGACAGCCAGAACCGTCTGCTGACGTAGGAGTCGGTGCCGTTTGCTTYAGACTTCCGGTGAGTTTACAAAATAAAAGCAGAAGCGAAATGGAGGAGATCATGAATTCCACCAAATCTGTGGAGGAGATGACAAAGAAATGCCGCTTCGGATAAGAAGATTACAGTTACTTTCAACTTATTGGTGTCATCTAAAGGGTCAYGATGAAAGTCATCCATGTAAAGAGATTTTAAAACCAAGTTGGGAAAAGGAGAAAAAGAAAATAAACTCTTTTGGTTGGACTGTGGAGAATATTATAAATAAATTTGATTTGTCTCACATACATCAGTCAAACAGTTCCTCAATCACCGGTTTACCCATCTCTATTACCCAGTATTATTATTGATCTATCTTTGTTGAAAAAACGTAAAAAAATAAAATATAGCAGATCCATACATAATACAAGCACATCTAGACAATATGGATGTGTTCAAATTTATACAGATGCATCAAAAGATACAAAAATAGAGTTTAATTTGTTGTTCCAGAATTCAGTTTTAGAACAGGCAAAAGAATTAMTGATGGAGTTTCATCTACACTGGAGAGATGATGGGCATCAGTATGGGCTCAATCTTTAGTCTTATGTATTTTGTGCTCGTAAATCAGACTTTGTACTTGTGGATTAAGATTTGTAACTTTTGGAGATGTAAATAGGAATGTGTGTGTGTAAAATAGAGTTGTATCTGTAAAAATAAAATTTGTATCTGTAAAGATAAGATTTGTATTTCTAAAAATTAAATTTGTAACTGTAAAAATAATATTTGTATCTGTAAAAAGTATTTACACAAGTTACAATGTTTTTTGTTAAGGCCTGTTTACAGGTACAAAGCAAAAAAACTACATGTAAATCTCTCTGCTCAAGTTCAAAACTTGTATGTGAGTTTAACTTTACAAGTATGAATTCTGACCCTGTTTTTCTGCCTCCAGCTGATTGGTCAATGTCTTGTCAATCATAGATTTAACATCCAATCAGAGAACAGATGGGTTTCATAATTTAAAATTTGAGTATATGTGGTCTTATAAAGTGTGCAAATCTATATATGGGCTTAAATCTAATCTAAATGTCTCTTGTAGTAACTTGTATTTTATATTTACAATCTAGTAACCAAGACAACTGGTGGGCCAAATCAAATGGCTCAGTGGGCCAATTTTGGCCTGCGGGCCCCACTTTGGGCACCTCTGTTCTAAAGTATAAAGATGCTTCCTTTGACTTTTTGTGTTTGAAGGATAGGAATGTCACAGGCATTTTAATTTTACATAAATGTAAAACCATTTGATGCTAAAAGCTACGGTAGCAGTAACAGTAACATCAGAAATTGAAAGTAGCAAATAGATAGCTAAATGGAGCAAAGGTGCTAACTAGCTAAAATGTGAAAAAAATGTTAGCAAAAGATAAAATAGTTAAATGCTGGATAAATATAAACAAATGTGCATGTTAGCTCAAAGCTAAAACATAGACAACACTGGCAAAATCTAAAAGTTGCTAAATGCTAGTTAGAACGCTAAAGTAGTTCAAAAATAAAAAAGCATTACTATAGCTAAAATAAGCAAAAACTGACTTGTTTATTTA